AGCAAAAGAGGTGTCGACAGCAGCCAACAGGACGATGTGGTGAGCCACTTCCCAGGGAGAAACCAGGAAGTTCTGATCAGGGTTTCAAATGAAGCAAGAGGGGTGGGGGTGGACAGGAGGGTGGAGAGGGGTGTAGTTGTCAAGGAGATGTCAAGAAGACAAGTGTGGCAGAGGGACACACATGTGTGACACTGTGGGGATCAGATGTGCTCTATCACTCTGGAGGTCAGTGGGATGGGAGGGAGGAGGCCTTCCCAGGGAGGGTATCTTGTCTCAAGTCAGTGGGGAAGATGGTGCCTACAGCTCCAGGGCTGAACTAGTGACATAGCCAGGGCTGGGATGTGGCACGGAAGTGGAACTTGGGGTGGGGGAAGTCCTGGGAGATAAAAGTATCTGGCCCAGGTCAAGGGCTTTCCCTGCACTGTGGGGCTAGGCTAGGGAGTGTGCCTATCAGCATTTCCGTTGATGCGGGAAGCCACCCACTGCCCATACTATCATGAGAGTGCATCAAGGAACTCGGAAGGCCGATGGACCTTGGTTGTCAGCAGGACTAATGCCAAGTACCATTGTTCTGTTGAGATAGTGGTGACTCGAAACAATTTCCTGACCTAATAGCCTCAAAGTAAATGTTTACTGAACCTGACTGATCTTTACTGATCTTTATTGATCTTAGAGACAGTCTATCTGCTACCTGTTTGCCGTGCTTTACTGAGGGTAAGATGTGTCTCTAAAACTGAGTAAGGCAGGTTTCCGTGTGCCTCTCCAAGAGGAAGAGTCTCCCCCTGACCCCCCATGCCTTCTAAATGCATATTTCTTGCCCAGTGTTTTCATTTGTGCGTCAGCCCCTTCTTCAGATCCTGAACCCCTGCTGCAAAAGGTTGTGGCACCTTGAAGCTGTTCCTAGAGCCGCCAAGCCCTCCAGACTCAGGCAGGGATGCAGCTGGGCCTCCTGCCCAGGAGAGGGGCGGGCTGGGGTCAGGCAAGTGCTGAGGTCAAATCCCATTCAGGACTATTCTGGAAGCCAAGGGCATGTGAGTGGGGAGAGTAGTGATAAGAGAGAGAGAGCTCCAAAAGTCACTCACAGTCTCCTCCTCACTGCTGAGAGTTTTTGCTGCCATCTTCTGGGGCGCTTTCTCCAGGATGGGCATCTTCGTGACTTCTGGCTGAGGAAACAGAGGTGCAGAGCTGTTGAAGCAGAGAGGCATCAACACAGCAGCCACATAGACCTGCTGGGCCTTTCCCCCCCCCCGCAGCCTGACACCCACCTGCACCCTGTGAGGAGGCCAGAGCTGGACAGTAGTGTGCACTGGTCTCACTGTTGGCCTGGCCCCAATCTCCTCACGTCCAGACCAACCACCATGCACAGTGTCCTCTCTGAGCCCCCAAATAAGAGAGGGCGGGGCGTGAAGTGAGCCTCCAGCTGCTACCTCCTCCATCAGACATCTGTCACCAGGCCCAACTGATTCCCCCAGGGCAGTGTGGGAGGGAGCAGGGCTGGGCTTGCCCACTCCTGATCCACAAGGGTATTGGCAGAGCATTTGCTTTGTTCTTGCATGGGGCCCAATAGCTGTATGCTTTGCAGATTAAAATCTCTCTTTCTCACTAGACTTCGTGTTTTTCCAGGGCGGCATGCTCAGTGCTTCATCTCTGGGACCTAGCAGGTGCATGAGTAGGATGCATGTTGGGGAGCTGAGTGAAATCAATGCCTGTGTGCACGAGTGCACACCTCAGTGAATGCAAAGCCCTGGCGCCATGGGGTGGGCTGTGCCAGTAGGTTCCCAGTGTAGGTGGCATAGGAGTGCTAAGGGGGTGGTGCAGGGAAGCTGGGCAGCCCCATCCCCTGGGGGCCACCTAATAGTCTGGAGATTAGTTTTGAAGGGGCAGCAGGAGGGAGCCAGACCAAGGTGGAGCAAAGGCCAGGTTTTAAGGCTAGTAGGACCCAACCTCTACCCTCAGAGATCCCTCTAAGCTAGTGGTTCTTAACCTTTGGGGGTCGAATGACCCTTTCACAGGGGTCGCCTAAGACCATTGGAAAACACATATATAATTACATATTGGTTTTGTGGTTAATCACTATGCTTTAATTATGTTCAATTTGTAACAATGAAATTGGGTGTCACCACAACATGAGGAACTGTATTAAAGGGTCACGGCATTAGGAAGGTTGAGAACCACTGTGCTAACATAAGCCTGTAGAGACCCCCATGCTTTCTACTCACCCATTCCCCCCAACTCCCTCAACACACCCTCCCCCCCAGGTTCAGTCCAGGTGGGGGCTGGGCATGGGCACAGTTAACCCGAGGACAGAGCATCCAGGAAGATGGATGACTCCGGTACAGGATGGAGGAGCCGGGGCGCCTGGAAGTTCCAGGCAGAGAATGTTGAGTCCTCAGAGCACTACAGCAGCCTGCTCCAGGCTAGGTGGTCCCCCACCCTCCAGCCCATGCATTTTAGGGGCGGCCCTGCCTACCCGGGAAGCAGCAGTATCCAGACAAGGGTCCACCCCCAGCACAGCAAGGTTCTGAGGGGCAACAGGGGAAGGGTGGTTTGGTCTCT